CCTCGGCAAGTATTTACACTATTTTGTCTAAAAAATTATTGCATTCTAATTCTTGGGTCCTTGATACAGGATGTGGTTTTCACATTTGCTCTGACTTGCAGGGACTAAAAGAAAGTAGGAATGTGGAGCTTGGGAATATAAACCTGATAATGGGCAATAGGAGATCGTCACATGTTACCAAGATCGGCGTTTATTGTTTAATCCTTAGTAGTGGGATATGTTTAGATTTGAATAATTGTTGCTACTCATCAGAAATGACGAGGAATATTATTTATTTTCATTGTTTGTACAGAAAAGGGTTTAAATATTACTTTAATAATAAGAATGGATCTATTAATGCTTATTATAATGGTGCATTTTATTTTGAAGCATTACCTTGTAATGGTGCATATGAAACTGTGATGGTTTTAGACAATTCAGGAAATATTGTGTTGCAAATTGATTCGTCTAATGGTTTAGACAAAGCATGATTGTGGCATTGTCGTATTGGACATGTCAACAAGAAGCGCATTGGGCAACTCCAAAAGGATGGAATGTTGGAATCATTTGACCTAAGGTCGGATGATACATGTGAGTGTTGTTTGCATGGAAAGATGACTAAATCACCTTTCACTGGTTCTTGTGAAAGAGGTGAAGGATTGTTGGATCTCATACACACATATGTGTGTGGGCCCTTCAGATCCACCACAAGAGTTGCAAATCGATTTTATGTGACTTTTACTGATGATTATAGCAGATATGGATATATCTACTTAATCAAGAACAAGTCTGAAACCTTTGAAAACTTCAAAGAGTTTAAACATGAAGTCGAAAATCAATTGGGTAGGAAGATCAAGATGCTCAAATCTGATAGAGGTGGTGAATATCTTAGTATCGAGTTCCACGACTATCTTAAGGAATGGGGAATTGTTTCACAATTGACACCTCCTAAGACACCACAACTAAATGGTGTTGCTGAGAGGTGTAATCGAAACTTGTTGGACATGGTTCGTTCCATGATGAGTCGAGCTTCTCTACCAATCTCATTCTGGGGGAATGCCTTAGAGAATGCCGCCCATATCCTTAATCTAGTCCCAACAAAGAAGGTTGCCAAAACACCTCACAAGATGTGGACAGGGAAGGTTCCCTCGTTGGCACATATCAAGGTTTGGGGTTGTAAAGCTTTCGTTAGATGAGAGACTCGTGAAAATCTTGAACTTCGAAGTGAGTGATGTATTTTCATCGGCTACCCGCAGAAGTCCTTTGGATACTAATTCTACAGACATAGTGAGAACGTGTGTCACAACTAGCATTTTTGGCTAGGAAATTCTGTCTACATGTGATCAACTTTCGATGTAACTTGTAACCCTAAGATTGATGTGATGCATGTTATTTAATTCAAAAACAACTATTCGAATCAAAACTCACTCGTGAAGTCCAAAACCTAATTCAATACATTTCATGCACTCAACTGTGGGTTTGTAACCCTAATGTCTCGGTTCAAACTCAGAATGGACCAGGATCCTTTTATTGGGCCTATTGGGCCAATAAACTCTCAATTTGATTATTTTGGGCCAAGGAACCTCATTTGGGATCTAATTGGACCCACATTCATTAAACTATATCATTTTGGGCCATGTTGGGCCTAAAATGACTCACTTTGTTTTCGTGGTCCTTAATGGGCCATAAAGGTTTTCTTAAACCTCAAAATGGGCTGAAAACCCATTGTTATTACCTCTTTTGGGCCGAGAACCCCTAAAGGGCCTTCATGCGTCGAAAAACCTCTATTGGACCAATGTGTTCTAGGTTGCATTCTAAACTCATGCCCAATACACTCATTTCTTTCTTTCTTTCTCATTCTCGACTTATATATATATATATATATATATATATATATATATATATATATATATATATATATATATATATATATATATATATATATAATGAAATGATGAGATTATATAAATAAGGTGACACCTCCTTATTGCATGTTGGTAATCCATGCAATAACCACCAAACATCTAGGAAATTGAAACTAATCCAATATGTATTAACCAAATTTAATCACCTCTCTCTTTCTCGCTTCTTATTCACGGCCTCCACCTCTCCATTTCCAACTTCATCTTTTTTCTAAACTCTCTCACTTTTATCTCCTAAAAATCATGAGCTTTAGGGTGATTCAAGAGTTTCTCTTCAATTTCATCCTCTTGGTAAGTTATCTCATATACAAGATGTCTAACTTCATCTTTGTGCTAAGAATATACTCTCATAATTATCCTAATTTCATGATCATGCTCTTAAAACTTCCTAGAATTCAAAGATCTCATCAAGGAGTGAGCTAGGACCGAAACCACCTCCAATCCTCTTCATCAAAACCGAATCCATCATCATAGTGAGTTCATACCCCCTATTTTCAGTTTTTACTATGTTTTGGGGGAGAATACAAGTTGCTTTGTATAGATCTATGTGTATATTCATGTTTATGTGTGTTTTTCATAATATGTGTTGTGATTATGTGTTGAAAACTTCATAAACTCGAAAAATATGCTAAACTATGATGATATTTGTAAAACAGAACACTTGATGCAACATATCATGAAAATGAAAGGATTAGAATATTTTAAGGATGTTTGAAACTAAGAAAATCGTGTAAGGGACCAAAATTGACAAAATAAACAAAAAGTGAGGTTTATATGTAACTCATGGTTTTTAAGATGACCAAAAAGGGTTATTTAAAAAAAATGGATCTTTATGATATTCATGGTTTTAAAAGGGCCAAAAGTGTAATTTTCACAAATGGGCCTCCAATTGGGCCTTTACGGCTTCATGGGCTAATTTTGTCAATTTTTGACTTTTGAGGACTTAATGGTCATTTTAAAAAGATTTGAACCAAAAATGTTATTTTTCGGATATATGGGCTGAAATGACAATTTTATTAAACTTGGGCCAAAGGGTTAATTTCTATGCTTGTGGACCGAAAATGTAAAACTTCACACAATTGGGCCGAAAATGTCAATTTTCATACAATTGGGCCGAAATTGTTAATTTTCATAAAATAGGGCCGAAAATGATATTTTTGACAAAAGTTGGCTAAAAATGCTACTTTATTTGAAACAGGCCCTATAAATGTAAACTTTTGGTCTTAACGGTCCTAATGTGTCATTTTTACCAAAAACATGCCTATATTGTAAATTTTTAGTCTAATGGACCAAAAATGTCAATATTACAAAAAGTGGGCCTTTTATGTCATTTTGGTAAATAATTCATTTAGAGCAAACAATACAATAACTAACGAGTCAATTACGTCAATTTCATTACTATTGGGCATGTAATATAATTTACATGTTTAGTGGGCCTTAGTTGTCTTTTTACATGTTTATTGGGCCTGGAATATACAATACATGTTTAGTGGGCCATAGTTGTCCTTTTACATGCTTATTGGGCCTGGAACATACAATACATGTTTAGTGGGCCTTAGTTGTCCTTTTACATGTTATTGGGCCTGGAATATACATTACATGTTTATTGGGCCTTTGTAGTCCATTTACATGCTTGTGGGCTTCATACATTCACATACATTCACTTTGGGCCTTGTATAATTACAAGATACTCGGAAAACATTATTTACTACGTTAAATAGTGTGATACAATATTCGCGTAAATTCAGTTAACTTTCTTGTGAGACACGTATTCATTCGTACCTACCTAGCGTACAACCTTAAGTTTTGTAGTTATAACCAGAGTCTCCTAGAGGGAGAGCGAGAGTTTGTGTATAGATCTATACGAGGTTGACCCCCCACACCTGAGTTGTTCGCTACAGCTAGACTAGGCCAGTCTAGGGTGACAAACCTTACCTTAAACAAGTTAACGCCTGAAAAACGTCATGACAGGCAGATCATTCATATCAAGTATGGTTATAACGACTCACAGAGAAATTAACTCCATTATAAATTTACGGAATACATATACAACTTGATAACACGAAAACATACATACATGGTACTCGGTCTTGGGGTTTTAAGACCACAACATTTTATAAACAGAAAATATCAAATTTTCTGGGAAAACATACAACTATACAATACCTTCTAATTACAACAGAAAATATCGGATTTTCTGGAATTACTCACTATATACATTTTCAAACAGTAACACACATGCATTAATACAATATTGGACACAAACCATTCAAACCATTTTTCAGAAGATATCGGATTTTCTGGTGTTTACAAAGCAAAACAAAACATTTTACTCAAACATGATTATGAACTCACCAACATTATATATGTTGACGTTTTCAAAATAACTTGTATTCTCAGGGAATCGTTAAGCGGAATGGTCAACAGGAACATGTGGAAATTGTCATATTTTGTTATCATCATACATTAACTATTTGGACATGTAATTTTTGATACAATACTTGATGTAAACAATAATGTTTGTATTTTGTATGTATGATGATGATGTTTGTCATGTTTCAATTATATACATTGTGATGATATTCCAAGACGAAGTCACCCAACCCCCAGACGTTTCCGCCGTACTTTTCGGTTCGGGGTGTGACAGATTGGTATTAGAGTAATGTTTATAGTGAACTGGCATATCTATTCATACAGGATATGCAACTATAAATACATTGGGACTAAATTACTATGAACAAAATAAAATCCATACCTATGTGTGCATTTTATGGTAATAACACAATAAGAAACAGTAAAAGTGTTTGGAGGATTTGAACATCGCGGTTAAACCCGGGTAGTTATGTAGTCGTATTGGGGGTAAATCTAGCCTGATCAACTACATTCATTCAAAATATGACCAACATATGTTCGGGAATATTCGTGATGGTCAATGAGTCAAAAAATTACCATCTAGTTATCCAAAGAGCTTATAGAACCAAACTTAACCATTTAAAATACTATAGAAGTATTTTAGAAAGCTAACTACAAACCACCCCTTACACACTTCTCACCCCTTCGTTTCTCGTGCAGACAACATGGATCGTGGAGGAACCTGGTATGGTTCAAGAGGCAGATCTAAGGATAGGACCAGAGGAGTATTTAGAGACAGACTACAAATATGAGAGATCCGATGGGGAGACTGAAGAAGCAGTAGATGTTGAGGAAGTTCCTAGTGAATCCTACCCCATAGAGATGATACTGGACCAGCACCCGACGCAAGAGGATCCCACGGATCGGACGCGTTCCCTGGAGGAGGAGGTTGCCACCCTCAAGCGGCAACTTTTTGCAGCAGAGGCCAGAGCAGTACGAGCAGGAACTATGGAATCTCATGGTACAGAACTCTGACATCGATGCTTACATCTCAAGGTTCAGTGAATTGTCACTTCTGTGTCCGGGTATGATCACATCAGAGGGGAAGAAGATTGAATGATTCATTTGGAGATTAACCTCTCCAATCCAAGGAAATGTAATAGCAGCAAACCCTAAGACATATGACAGTGCTAAAAGACTGGCTAAGAAGTTATACGATCATGGCAACAAAAAGTGTGCAAAATTGGTGAAACCGAGGTTAAGAAGGAGGGAAATAAGAAGGAATGGAATAACAAATGAAAGGGGCGAGAAAACCAAGGATCATCGAAAAAGCAACAAACCGTAGCATTCCACGCTGCTACTGCTCAGGTTGCACCAGCACCACTTGCTCCAGCCTCATCTGCGCAAACTACCACCAAACCTTACTCAGGAACCCTACCAAAGTGCAAAAAATGTAATTACCACCACCATGGAGAATGCAGAGATCTGCAGTGTACTAACTGCAACCGTCAGCGGCACACCGCCCGGTACTGCAGATCTCCACCCCAACCAAACCAGCGTCACAACAACAACAACAACAACAACGCGGGGGCGAGTCATACCTGTTACGGATGCGGTGGAACAAGTCATTATAGACGAAACTGCCCCAAAGCCAATGCTCAAGGTGCTGGAGGATCGGGCAGGGTCCTCACAATAGGGCAGGGTGAAGCGGTTCAGGATCCAACCGTTGTCACTGGTACGTTCCCAGTCAATAACACTTATGCATACATTTTGTTTGATAGCGGGGCCGAGCAGAGTTTTGTGAGTAATAAATTCAAACACTTACTAAACCAACAACCCTAGAAGCTAAGTGAAGCCTTCACGGTGGAGATGGCTAATGGGAAAACCAAAACAACAAAAGGTATATACATAGGGTGTACGCTCACATTAAATAATCATTCATTCCCAATCGATTTGATGTCAGTAGATATTAGGAGCTTTGATGTGATTATAGGCATGGATTGGTTAAGCTCCCACCATGCCGACATTATGTTCCACGAGAAGGTCGTTCACCTTCACCTCCCTAACCAAGAAACCCTAATCCTCTACGACGATAAGTTGGGCTCCAATCTTCGTCTTATATCGCGCATCAAGTCACAAAAGTGCCTGCACAAAAAGAATCACGCATTTCTTGCTCATATGGTGGATAAGAGAAAAGAAGAGACGAACATCAATGATATCCCATAGGTACGAGATTTTCCCGATGTATTCCCTGAAGATCTCCCAGGAATACCACCCAAGAGACAGGTTGAATTCAGAATTGACCTGGTACCTGGGGCAATGCCATTTGCCAAATCACCCTACAGACTGGCTCCCGCTGAAATGCAAGAGTTATCAAGCCAGCTAAGCGAACTTCTTGATAAAGGATTCATCAGGCCGAGTTTCTCACCGTGGGGAGCTCCGGTCCTATGTGTCAAGAAGAAAGATGGATCCTTCAGAATGTGCATCGACTATAGGGAGTTGAATAAGCTTACCATCAAAAACCGATACCCACTTCCACGGATTGATGATCTATTCGATCAGCTTCAAGGGGCTAGTTATTTCTCTAAAATAGACCTGAGATCCAATTATCATCAACTTCAAGTCCGAGAAGAGGACATTCCAAAAACTGCTTTCTGAACTCGATATGGCCATTTTGAATTTGTTGTTATGCCCTTCGGTCTGACAAATGCTCCTGCAACATTTATGGACCTCATGAACCGAGTTTGCTGTCCATTCCTTGATAATTTCATAATCGTATTAATTGACGACATTCTCGTATATTCTCGAAGCAAGGAAGAGCACGGTCAACATCTGCGAAAAATTTTGGAAACACTCCGAACAGAGAAGTTGTACGCGAAACTCTCAAAGTACGAATTATGGATTCGCAAAGTAAACTTTTTGGGTCTTGTGGTTAGCAAAGAGGGGATACATGTGGATCCTGCTAAGATCAAAGCTATTGAAGGTTGGGCAACTCCAAGGACGACAACGGAAATTCGACAATTTTTGGGCCTTGCTGGCTACTACAGAAGGTTTATCCAGAACTTTTCCAAGATAGCCAAACCTGTCACCACACTAACCCAAAAAGATGTAACTTTCAACTGGAGTAACAAGCAAGTATGGCATTTCAGACGTTAAAGCAAGCTCTCTGTAGTGCTCCGGTGTTGTCCTTGCCGGAGGGAACAGAAGACTTCGTGGTGTATTGTGATGATTGAACCAAGGGCTAGGTTGTGTGTTGATGCAGCGCGTAAAGGTGATTGCATATGCATCCAGGCAACTAAAAATCCACGAAATAAACTATACTATGCATGATCTCGAGCTGGGAGCAGTGGTCTTTGCTCTTAAAATATGGAGGCACTACCTTTATGGTACCAGGTGCACCATTTTCATAGACCACAAAAGCCGCCAACATATCTTGAACCAGAAGAAACTGAACATGAGGCAGCGAAGGTGGGTTGAGCTATTAAATGATTATAAGTGCGAGATCAAGTATCACCCAGGCAAGGATAATGTGGTGGCCGATGCCTTAAGCAGGAAAGAGTACTCGGGCCGCCGAGTGAGAACACTAGCAATGACCATCCATTCCCACCTAATCTCACTGATCAAGGAAGCTCAATCAAAGGCATTGAAGCTGGAGAATGCTGCGAATGAAACGATGCGTGGGATGGATAAGAACCTAGAAACCAAAGAGGACGGAGCCTACTACTTCATGAATAGAATATGGGTCCCAAAATTTGGGGTATTCAGAGGCATAGTCATTAATGAAGCTCATAAGACGCAATATTTCGTCCATCCAGGTTCAGATAAAATGTACCTGGACATCTAACAACATTATTGGTGGCCAAACTTGAAGGCAGAGATCGCCACTTATGTGGGCAAGTATCTCACTTGTGCCAAAGTTAAAGTGGAAAACCAGAAGCCCTTAGGATTACTGCACCAACCTGAAATTCCCGAGTGGAAATGGGAAAATATTATAATGGATTTCATAACCAAGTTACCTAAGACAGCAGATGGATTGGATGCTATCTGGGTGATTGTCGATAGGTTAACCAAATCTGCCCATTTCCTGCCAATAAAGGAAACATATAAGATGGAAAGATTAACATGGATCTATATAAAAGAGATCGTGAGACTCCATGGAGTACTGATATCTATTATCTCAGATCGAGATAGTAGATTTACTTCACGATTTTGGCAGTCGCTCCAGAAAGCTATAGGAATGCAACTAGACATGAGCAGTGCCTACCATCCCCAAACAGACGGCCAAAGTGAGCGGACCATTCAAATGCTAGAAGATATGCTCCGAGCCTGCGTGATCAATTTTGGCAAGGCATGGGATACCCAATTGCCCATAATTGAATTATCGTATAAGAACAGCTATCACTCGAGCATTAAGGTGGCTCCTTTCGAAGCCTTGTATGGCAGGAAATGTCGATCACCTCTTTGATGGGCTGAGTTGGGTGACACTCAGTTGGCAAGAGGACGAACACCAAACAGCACTCTCACGGGACCCGAGATCATTCGAGAAACGACGGAGAAAATAATTCAAATCAAGGAACGACTCCAAGCATCACGAGACCGACAAAAGAGTTATGCTGATAAACAGCAAAAGCCTCTGGAATTTCAAGTCGGAGATCAGGTGCTATTAAAGGTTTCCCCCAGGAAAGGAATGATCTGTTTTGGGAAGTGCGGAAAACTAAATCCGCGAACATCGGGCCATTCCAGATTCTTGCCCAGATTGGTCCGGTGGCATATAAGATGCAGCTACCTGCGGAGCTCAACAACGTACACCCCTTATTCCACGTGTCAAACCAGAAAAAGTGCTTATAAGATGAAACCCTCGTCGTTCCCCTGGATGAGATCGAAGTAAATGAAAATATCCTATTCGTTGAAGAACTTGTTGAGATAATGGACAGAGAAGTGAAGCGTACAAAACAGAGCCGCATTCCAATTGTGAAGGTTCGATGGAACGCTAAGTGTGGACCAGAATTCACATGCGAACGCGAAGACCAGATGAAGCAAAAGTACCCTCACATATTCTCTCATTCTTAGTACTATCTTTCAAAAGAATTTCGGGATGAAATTCCCTCTAACGGGGGGATGATGTCACAACTAGCATTTTTGGCTAGGAAATTATGTCTACATGTGATCAACTCTCGATGTAACTTGTAACCCTAAGATTGATGTGATGCATGTTATTCAATTCAAAAACAACTGTTCGAATCAAAACTCACTCGTGAAGTCCAAAACCTAATTCAATACATTTCATACACTCAACTGTGGGTTTGTAACCCTAATGTCTCAGTTCAAACTCAGAATGGACCAGGATCCTTTTATTGGGCCAACAAACTCTCAATTTGATTATTTTGAGCCAAGGAACCCCATTTGGGCTCTAATTGGACCCACATTCATTAAACTATAGCATTTTGGGCCATGTTGGGCCTAAAATGACTCACTTTGTTTTCGTGGGCCTTAATGGGCCATAAAGGTTTTCTTAAACCTCAAAATGGGCCGAAAAACCATTGTTATTACCTCTTTTGGGCCGAGAGCCCCTAAAGGGCCTTCATGGGCCGAAAAACCTCTATTGGACCAATGTGTTCTAGGTTGCATTCTAAACTCAAGCCCAATACGCTAATTTCTTTCTTTCTTTCTCATTCTCGGCTTATATATATATATATATATATATATATATATATATATATATATATATATATATATATATATATATATATATATATATATAATGAAATGATGAGATTCTTTAAGTAAGGTGACACCTCCTTATTGTATGCTGGTAATCCATGCAATAACCACCAAACATCTAGAAAATTGAAACTAATCCACCATGTATTGACCAAATTTGATCACCTCTCTCTTTCTCTCTTCTTATTCACGGCCTCCCCCTCTCCATTTCCAACTTCATCTTTTTTCTAAACTCTCTCACTTTCATCTCCTAAAAACCATGAGTTTTAAGGTGATTCAAGAGTTTCTCATCAATTTCATCCTCTTGGTAAGTT